CCAATTTGGGAGGCCAAGGTGAGAGGATTGCCTGAGCCCAGGCGTTCCAGCCTGGGCAACTTGGCAAGACCTCTTTGCTAAAAAAAAAAAAACGGGCAAGGTGGCACACACCTATAGTCCAAGCTACTTGGGAGGCTTGGGAGGCTAAGGTGGAAGGATCACCTAAACCCAGGTCAAGACTGTGGTAGCTGTGATTGATGGAATGCACTCCAGCCTGAGTAACAAAGTGAGACTTTGACTCAAAAACTAAAAAATACAAAGTTTCAGAAACAAGCAAATAAAAGATTGAATGAAACAAATCTCAAGTTAGGCACTGCCTTTGAGAATGGGGCCCAGAGAAAGTTAACTGAAATTTGTGATATGTAGTGTCACTCAAACAATTTTGCAAAGGAGAGAAAAACAAGAAATGGCACTTTACAAAAGTAGGTGCTTCAGCCATATCAAAGAAAACTTACGATGGCTCAGCCTGTAATCCCGCGCTTTAGGAGGCTGAGGTGAGTGGGTTGCCTGAGCCTGCGGGTGCAAGACCTGCCTGGGCAACTTGGCGAAACCTCATCTCTACAATAAATCAAAAAATTAGCCAGGCATGGTAGCGAGCGCCTGTAGTTCCAGCTACTTGGAAGGCTGAGGCAGAAGGATTGCCGGAGCCCATCTGGTCAAGGCTGCAGTGACCGGGAGCAGCCACTGCACTCCAGTCTGGGTGACAGAGCGAGACTCCAACTCAAAAATAAAATAAAATAAAATAAAATAAAACTACAAGGTCTTTAATAGGTAATCATTTTCCAGTTTCTAATCATTTGAACTTAAAGGTATCCAAACTACATTTCCCATCCTCTTCCAGTCCATTTCAACATGTACATACCAAAATTAAGTAGTAGAACAAAGGAATACTGTGATCCAGTGGAATCATGCTCTATTTAAGCCATGTTTCTAAATCAACAAGTTGGAACCTCAAAAAGGGAATTAATGTGCCATGGTAGACCAAGTATGCCAGTTCCAGAGGCCACATCCTACCTTTCATGTTATGTACTGACCGG